TTAAAATTATTAGAAAGAAAGATGTGATAATGATTAAGAAAGAATTTTTTTACAGAACTGAGTAAAAAGAAATAGATACAGTATACTCTGTTATGTCCATGGTACTGCTCGTGTCTATAGGCGACGGTTACCACTTTCCATCAGGTGGGCAGTCAGCTTGTTTGCTAGTCTAAGTTGCGTAAAAAAAATATTATATAATAAATTAGAAAAAAAAAACAGCCACAGATGAAAAATATATCAAGGATAGCTTTACTACTACTACTACTACTACTACCTAGAATACCACTGTACTATATTACTTATTAAATAAACATAAACATTAAATCGGTGAATGTTTTTAATGAAAAGACAAATGTCGTTGACAATTAAAATGACAAACTTTCTATTTCTCAAATATCTTATGTAAAAACTACCAGTTAATTACATTTCTATCTCTCTTACGGCATACTGGATATCTTATGACATAAAAATGCCTTTGTCTGAACAAACAATCGGTGTTTCCAGTTTATAATTAAATTGAAGTGACCCAATTAGAACTTAAACAGAAATTAATGAAACTATTTAACTTTAGGTCTCGAATTTGGGTTGATGGCATGGCAATAATGAATAATTCAACACAAAACCATAGTCTGGGGACAGTCCTTTATGGGAAATGTCAGATGAGACCAGCGTCGACAATCATTTCATTAGATTAATTGATTACTTTGCACCGCGGCTTGATTTAATTCGACCTTTGTGAACGCATCCGTTTGTATTTCCATTATATTAGCATTAATTGGATTAGCGCGTATTTGTTTAACCAACAGTCGTCGCTAGAAAATGTATAGAATAATTAATGTATTCAATTGTGTAGAATTTATTAATTGATGTTTGTAAATTTCAAACTACACGTTGTATTGCTAAATTGTTACTTGACAATTAATCCAATAACATTTAGTTACATAAATTAAATTAAATTTTAACCAAATGGTGGTAGGACCAAAACCTTTAGGGTTAGAAAATAAATTATCAAATTACCCAATTGAACCCCCAAAATATTTATGTAAAAAACAACTTTAACTACAAAATTAATGTGGGACCCACGCGGAAGTAAATTTTATATATTGTTATAAAATAAATTTTAGGATACAATAGTTTTAGGATGGGTAAAAATATAGTATTTGTGCACATACAAAAATATAGACGAATTGAGAACGTCCTCTATTAAAGTCACTGAAAATGAAGCCATGCAACTTCATTTAAATTGTGTTTAAATCCACTCGACTATATTATCATTTACAAATAATATTGAATATGTTAATAATAAAAAAAAAATAGTTTGGAGTATAACATTCAAAACAGTAACTTATACGAGGCATTGTATGATAGAGAAGAAATATCAATAAACGGTTCCTTGTCTCTGCTTTTCATTTAACATTTATTTATTATCAATTTTATTTATTATTATTACATATTATTTTAGTGGATCAATATGGTGCTCAAATTATGTTTAACGTCAATCATTAGCAGTAATTGGATGAAACATTTATTGAAGATTCATAGAAGATTCCGAAATGGATGTATCTAGTTGAATATTTTACTATATTCCATATTCATAATGACTTCATATCTCATATGTCCACGGTCTGTGGCTAACTAAAACTCCTTAATAGCAAATTGACAGTTTCATTCTGTTTCCAATAAGAATCCATAGCAAGTTACATATCCATTTGCAACAATTTTATCGAGTCGAAAACTGTTAGCAATTTAGTTTTTTTTTATTAATGGGTGAGAAATAAATGGTAATTCCGCCTGAGCTATCAATATACGCTAGTGGGGCACTAGTGAGAGATGATAGGAGAGGATAAAAGCAGATCGGTTAGTCCATCGCGATGCATTTGACAAGAATTAACCACAATGTTTTCCGTGAACCGCGTGTAGATTGACTATCAAGTCTATATAGACTTGATAGACAATGCTATCTACCTAGAACTACCTACATGTTTTCTTCAAAGTAAGAATTCTTCAAAAGTCAGGAATTTTTATTAATCTTTCGCTACCTTCGCGCTAAGTATAACTTCGGGTAAAATATTGTACAAAATTTTTCTACATCGATTTATTAAATTTCATTGTTATCTATGTAACGTAAAATTATCAAAGTGGTCTTTGATGTTATTTCTAGCAATAACAGTATTTCATTAGCAGTGGTAGGTAACCGCACTTTGTATATGTATATGTTATCGTTAACTTGTTAAACTGTCATTGTTAGCATAAATTGAATTACCCAATTGCTTCAACGTTACAGTACTGCTGCCAAACGGAAGTACAGAGGCATATTTCACGGTTTACGGCGGAACTTGGACAGCGGCGGCGGGAGCCTCGGACCTCAGCTAAATGGGGTTATTCAAAGCCAATCCAGTCCGCATATTAGTTTATCGCATCCCTTCGAAAGGGCTAATCCCATTCAACCCTCGGTAAAGCGATTCCGTCGCCAAGGCCTCAAAATACTCATTGAATGTTGCGGAGCCGGCCAGCAATAAGGTTATACTATTTCTTGGATCCGCTCTCGAGCCATTAAAACCGTCTAGTCCATTCGCTCCCTGTCGGATTAAAAAGGGATCCCTTTTGTACTGTCTCAAGCGAATGACGCTATTATCTCTTTAGTTTTTATTTCGCTTCAGCTTCCAGCACAAGCGTAACTTCCACTAGTATTGGATTTGCGTTCGCTCCCGACAAGTTCTTAATAAATGGAATTTTCTCGCGGACTTTCTGTTCAAACTTTAATTTATTAGGGCTTTGTTCTGTCGCGAACAATCAGTGCTGTAATATCAGTTGTTGAATTGTTGTGAACTACTTAAATGACATTATTATGACGCTCTTTATCGATAGTTCGGTTATTCCGTGCCTACTCGGCCTACAAAGTTAATCGAGTAATTACGACGTTAATCAAACTGAGTGGTTTCTCTCGAAGATTGAATGTTTTATTCAGAGGCAACGTTATCTGAGCGAGAGCTCGTCAGCTAATGCTAGCTTTAAAGCGGTCATAAAGTTTTACGCCGGTTCGCCGGCGGTGGTTTGTCCTGGCCGCTCAATTCTTCGACACATTGCTACACTTGCATTGCTGTATCTTCGATTATATATGTGACATATTGATGATGACGATGATGAGTGCTGACCGTTTTCGGTCACAGCGACCGCTTTGACTTCATTATTATTATTATGATAAAGATTATTACTTAAAGTAAACCAATCGTCGGGCACTTCAAGCTGCTTTAAATTCAAATTTCTTTTAACTTTCTTCTGCAAATTGGGGTTCAGAATTTTTAATAGAGTATAATTGTATTATCAACATTTTTAAGTGTAAAATATTTTTATAAGACCTGCAAATTATAATGGTATGAATTCGAATTAAGTACCATGAAAACAACATAAATGATTAAGGTTCGATTCAAACAAAAAATTAAATACTTGACTAAAGTAGTTTGATCGTCACCAAGAATGATTTCATATGTACGAGAACTATGCTACGAAATTTTACTAATAACATAAATTTGCAACTACATGATGTCTGTTCATAGGAGATATTTAAGAAAAATTTACACGCGGAGCCTTAATGCATAATAGAGTAATAGAAACGAAAAAAATATATTTTAAAAAGTTGTCTGAAATCTAATTTCTGTCTGTCTGTACGCTTGTTTCGGCATCGCACAAACACTGCACCAAGTTGAATGCGGTTTTAATTGTTATATAATTAGAGCTTTAACTTAAAAACTGACGTATATTTTATCTTGATCATCATTACAGAAGTGGTCTGTTTCTTTCATTTTCCTAATTTTGGGATTCTACGCGTACAAAGTAACGGACGAAAAGCATGTATTATGAAGACTAGTCTGCAATAGAGTAAAGCAATAGTCTGCTGTTGGCACGTGGCTCCCGCTTACTGTAAACAGTATTAAAGTTAACATCTGGGAGTCTTCTGACACTTGTATCACCAACGGCAGCCACCATTTCAATAAGTACGTGTAAGTAATGATCTGTTTTAACAATTTTAATTGTACTTTATTTAGGCGTAACGTAACATTCTTAATACGATTTAATAAATTTGCCTTTCATTTATGTACATGGTAAATATATCAAGTTAGGTATATATTTACCTTACTTTTAATTTTTTTTAATGCACCTACTGGGTGTTAAAATATAATTTTAAATTACTAATTGTAGCTATGATTATATTTAAATGTTACATACGTACAATTGTAAAGAAATATAATAACAGATTCAATAAATTGTTCATTAATTATTAATGGATCTTATATCCAATTTGACAATACCTAAATCATACATGACATATATTTTATTTTCGGTAACCACTTAGCATCAGGTGGGTTGTATGCTTGATTGCCACGTCAGTGGTATATAAAAAAAATATCATCACATTATAATTTCGATATATTTTTTTGTACATATATTATATATTTACAATGCAAATTACTATCCTTCTTTTAAGATATTTAATATCCCAAGGGATAATCCTAGTGAGTTACCTACACATATGTCTACATCTGTCAACTCCCATGTATTTATAAGAGACAGGTAAATATTTATTATTAAATGCAGTAATTATTGTTTAAATAAAATTTCAATACGTATCCACTTAATGTTAAGTAAGTGTAATGAAATGTTAGAACTGTGAAATAAATAAAATCTTAGAGATCCTTGCAGAGAGAAAAAGTGCAACTGCGTACTAAGTCTTATTAGCACATTCACATAAACACAAAGATTGTATACAAAATAATACCAATACATATCATTTTATTATACAACTTTATGCTTGTGATAGCTATTTATACTAAAGAATTATTATATTAATTATATTAACATACTTAAAAATTTATAATAACTCTTCAGTCGTCGAGGATTTATACCTAATTTTACAATTAACCTTCATTGCTACAGTATCGTAGAACTCCTTTAACTCTACAACTGGTACTCTACATTTAAATATAAAAGAAAATACTAACCGTTGTAAAATGACCCGAATTTGATGTTTCTTTACACTAGATTGTCATGAAAACTTCCCGCAAATAATATCCATGCCTGCTTGAAAACATCCGACCGACAAGTTCACAGCGCTCCGCAACGCTACAAGTATTCGAATACACTTAGAAACCTCTCACTTTCTTCTAATTACTTTTAAAATTCTATCTAAAATGTACAAGGTTCGCTCTGAATGCACAGCGATCGAGTGACTTCCGGATTTCGCCGGCGGTACGTTCTATCACTTCGGAGGCAGTCAACACTGAAACTCGCTGGTTACAAAATTCGTAAGAGCGATAAATCGCATCCGTCAGTGCGGGCGGCAAGGCCGCGCGGTCATCGCGCCGCCGCGCGCTTCGGCTGCGGAAGTCGCGGGCGTCCACATAGAGCACTCACTGCGGTCACAGGGCACGTTCACGCGCGAATCGACGGGGATCGCGGGGTTGGCGGGGGGGCATGGCGCACCACACGTGCGCTCGCCGCGGCCGGCCCGGGACACTGCCGCCGCCGGCCGCCGCGCGGCGCGCGCACCCGTCCGCGCCGCGCGGCGCGCGCACCGCGCCCAACGATCGCCCCCGAGCCTCCGACGATTTTTACATCTGCACTGTTGTGACATTGAAATTCAATTTTCGATGGAGCGCCCTTTGACGAAGCACGCCGTCGCTTCCGAATGCTGCAAATAGTATAGGGGTGGCGCTCGTTTAAAATAGAAAAAAAATGATTTTTAAGTGAAATTAAGAATTAACTTTAATTAACTGAAAAAAATGTGACTGAAAAAAATATAAATGTAATTAAAAAAAATAGTATGTAAGCAAATAAAATGCAAGCAACGAATCAAATTTCCTGTACAGTTTAAAACTTTTGATGCGATCAAATTCATCATACTCCCGTCTCCAGTGAACGTCGCGTACCGTGTTTTATTGATAAAAGTTGGACGTGTAGCGTGCTACGTGTAGCCGCTGCAGCGACAAGCGTTCCCGCGAGCGTAGCTCACTTGTCGCTCACTCGTCGCTCAGTCGTCGCTCAGTCGTCGCTCGCTCGTCGCAGTTGCACAGTGTGAACGAGCACTAATCTTCCGCGCAAAGCTTTGCGGTTCTTTGCTGGTACTTTTTACAAATGGCTACGCTTCGGAATTTAATTTCGCGCATTTCTTTTACGCTATTGGATATTGTAAGGATTTGCGGATTCCATTTATCCGTTGAAAAAGTAAGAGACGAATTTTTTCGCGCAGTTGTCGTAACTCTTGCGGCGGCTGGTTGATTCGTTTTGGTCCCTTCAAAATACGAGAGTTGTGGGTGGTTTACGTTTCACGATAGTTGGCCGCCTGTTTCAGAATCTGGTTTCATTATTCCTTAATTGGTGGTACAATAACCTTCATATATATCAGTCACCGTTATCACTTTATTCATTTAAAAAAGTCGGCAGATACTTCGGCTCGGATATAGTTCTATGTAAAATAATTTTTATATTTTGACTAATTATTATGGCTTTTTTCATGTCAACCATCTATATAAACAATGAGTACTATATTGATAGAGTTCTGAGGAATTGTTTGAGTTGTTGTTTACGACAAGCATTCATTATCTCAAGTTATTTATCAAACATCAATTATTTATCAAAGAGTACATTAAGAACTTGGATGTTTCTATACATTGTGACTCATTTGATGAAAATCCATCCAATTGAACCTATATGGAATAAGCTCTTCGTCATTTACAATTTACTGGGTACAGAGGAATAACACTCGAGTCCGCAGGAATGGCAAGGCATGGGGGGTATCATGGGCAAAACAGTATACTTTGTTATGTCCATGGTACTGCTCATGTTTATAGGCAACGGTTACCACTTTCCATCAGGTAGGCAGTCAGCTTGTTTGCCATTCTATAGTTATAATATATAAGTATAAAAAAAATATATATATATATATATATATATATATATATATATATATATATATATATATATATATATATATAACATCTCTAAAAACCTAACCGAGATTACCAAATCGCTTGCCAAGCGTGGCAACTACTGACAAAACTCCCCTTATGGGAAAGGCTTATGTTCAACAGTGGTCAGATAACAGCTGAAATGATGATAAATACGATAGGTTTTTTCAAAAACTATATTTTTCAGTCAACATTGTGCACATAATATCTCTTTAGCATCCACAGGCTGCAGTAATCATCAGGTGAGTTGTATACAGGCGGTCCTCGACTTACGTCGTTTCGATTTACGTCGTTTCAAGTTACGTCAAACAATGTTTTGACACTATTCCTCAAGCATACGTCATTTGTTTCGATTTCCGGCATATCGGAGAATTCACTTGTCGCAAGGTCAATGTCCGTGAGGGGCGCGGGCGGGGCGCGGTGTCGTCTCGTGCGGGGAATACCCTGCAAATGTCGCTGATTTTGTTTAGTACATTCAGGGACAACGGACAATCAAGACGTAATAAATTAGTTTTTTTGCATCTTTGACAGTTTTTGTGTTTACATACATATTTAAGTGAATTTTAAACAATGCCACCTAAACAAGACAGTAATAATAAAGTGAAGAAGAGAGTAAGAAAGTCAATTACAATGGAGGTTAAATCTAAGATTTTAAAACTCAAAGATCGTGGTTATTCGACTTCATCTATTGGACGAGAACTTAATTTATCACGCACGACGGTACAAACAATATTGAAAGATAAAGAAAAACTCTTAACAGCTCTTCCTTCCGTCTCTTCAAACAGCACTATTATACGCAAAAGGAATGCTTTAATTTATGAAATGGAAAAACTGTTGTACAATTGGATTCAAGATCAAACTCAGCGACGGGTTCCTCTAAGTTTGGCTATTATACAAAATAAGGCGCTGAGTATCATCAACACACTGCAAAATAAACGTGGCGAGAATAATAGTGACGAAACAAAATGTTTTTCTGCCAGTCGCGGATGGTTCATGCGCTTTAAAACGAGATATTCGTTACATAACATTCGAGTGCAAGGAGAAGCTGCTAGTGCCGATCATGTGGCTGCTCAGAGTTTTCCTGGAATATTAAAGGAAATTATCGAAAGTGGAGACTATTCGCCTAAACAAATTTTTAACGTGGACGAAACTGGTTTGTTTTGGAAAAAAATGCCCTCTCGTACTTTTATATCACAGGAAGAAAAGTCTATGCCTGGATTTAAAGCGGCTAAAGATCGTTTGACGTTGTTATTGGGTTCGAATGTTGAAGGTGATCTTAAATTGAAACCCCTTTTAGTTTATAGGTCTGAAAATCCTCGAGCTCTCAAAAATTACGTCAAGAGTACTCTTCCAGTTATATGGAAGGCTAATCCAAAGGCATGGGTTACATCAATACTTTTTGAAGAATGGTTTACTAAGCATTTTATACCTGAAGTAAAACAGTACTGTTCAAACAATAATTTGGCTTATAAAGCTTTACTTATTTTGGACAATGCTCCCGGCCATCCTGTGCGTATTGCCGATATTGATCCTCAAATCAAAGTCGTGTTCCTGCCTCCCAACACCACTTCGTTGTTACAGCCGATGGATCAAGGAGTTATCGCGTCTTTTAAGGCCTATTATCTCAGGAGAACTTTTTCACAGGCTGTAAAGGCTAATGAAAATGATGGCATGGAGCTGAGAGATTTTTGGAAAAGTTATAATATCCTGCAATGCGTAAAAAATATTGCTACTTCATGGGATGAGGTGACACCCAACAATTTAAAAGGAGTGTGGAAAAAGTTATGCCCATTTTTTTTTGAGCCATCTGAAAGTTCTACATCTACAGATCAACCAAATGTCGATGAGATCACAACTGACATTGTTCATTTGGCTAACCGTTTGCCTGACATTGCAGTTACTACTGATGATATTGATGATCTGTTAAGCTCACATTCGCAAGAACTGACTGATGAAGATCTTATTGAATTGGAGGCACAAGTACAAAAGGAAGCACTCGAGTCACAAGAAATAGCTTCTTCTATTAGTGACTCTGAAAAAGAACTTACACTAAAAAAACTTTCCGTAGCCTTTGCAAATTTGAAGAATGCCATGAAAATTTTTGAAGAAAATGATCCTAATTTTGAGAGAAGTTTTAACGTTAATAACAAAATTTGTGCAGCCTATCACTGTTACCAAGATCTGTATGATAGCAAGAAGAAAGAAGCCAAGCAATCTAGAATTGATAGTTTCTTTAAGCCAAAAGTTTAATTTATTATTTATCATTACATATGTATAAGTTTTATAATTATTATTAAAATTAATAACACACAAATACCAAAAATAACTAGCAATTTCATAAGTGCATAATATATAATTATTTTAAGAACTTACTTTTAATAATAAAGTACGTCCTTTGTTATAAATGCAGTTTTTTTTATTATTTCGAGTCCGTGTGGAACCTAACCCTTGAGTTTTACATGTAAACATATGAAAAAATATGTCTCGACTTACGTCGTTTCGATTTACGTCGCGTATTTCGAGAACCTAACATGCCGTAAGTACGAGGACTGCCTGTATTTGTTTGTCACCTCAGTGGAGCAACGAAAATTATTTTTTTTAAATATTTTATGTCATTCTAAGCTGACGTTCAACATGACGGGGGGAAAAAAATAATTTATTACAAAATAGCAAAAAAAAGCAGATACGTGAATGTATTGTGAAGAAATTGGCAATTTTCTCCATTTAAATATTTATTACATTTTTGAGGTGTTAGTGTTTTATAATTACTATTATAATTTCTTAATTTAATTTTAATTTAATATTCTTAATTTAATCTGTCAAATATGCATAATGTAATAAAAACACCTATGAAATGTTCGTTTGTTAATTGTTAAATAGTATTTTTTAAATGAATCTAGATATAATACATTATTAGTTCGTTTAAAACTGTACCTGCATGCTTTTTAGTCTTTACGCCCCTCGAATCTTAAGTTTCATAAGTGTTACCATTCCCTCTTTAATTGAATTTAAAAAAAGGAGGAAGTATCTAAATTTAACTGCATTATTTTGTGTTGTGATAAATGCGTCAAAGTTTGCTCCCATGTTGCTATTTGTTATGTCACGATTAAAGTTTTTCATGAGAATCAAAATATTAAGATATTGCTCGTTAAAACTAGGCGCCGTAGGAGGCGATTAGGGGAAGAACTTTTCTAGAACAACGTAAATAATCTAGTCCTCATATCAACGGGAAAACTGGAAGAAATAAAATAAACGTGAGTGGCGTTATGTAAGACGGGACTTGATGCGGACATGAATGTAAAATATAATTGTATTTATCACTCGGTTTATTTTGATGTTTTTTTTTATTAGATGGTAATGGAATGACAACTCCAACTGCGCCAACGGTATACGCTGGCAGGGCACCAGTGGGGGATGATAGGTAAGAATGAAAAAACGCAGGTCAGTTAGCTCATCGTGATGAATACACTTGGAATTCAGTACAATGGTTTTCAGCGGAGACCACGGAAAGGTCGACCTGGTATATATATGATATAGCTAGCAAT